TGGCTTCTACCAAATGAGCATCCTTTAGACAACGGACAGGTCCGTTCTTAGCCGCAACATAGCTCCCTTCACTATCATTTAAGACAGCGCCAAAGCTAGTGAGATTTTCTTCTGGGGATATTGCATCATCTACGTACAAAGCAAAAGTGCCGTCTGAACACCTCATTTTCTGAATTCACATTTGACCTTGTAACACTTGTTGATGCCCCTGCAAGATCTTGCCAGCTATCCAGCAGACTAGATATCTCCATGAGAACCGATGGAGCATGCCACACTTTTTGATTCCACACAACATTGTTTCTTTCACTCCAAATGCACCATAGTCTAGCAGCACACTGGAGTATGAAGGACTTATCACCTAGCAACCGTCCAGCAAGCCATTCTCCAAAGCTTTCATCTTCTATTGGTAATAGGAAATTTGATAGAGGTGGGCCATAGCATGGAAACATGCATGCATTCACACATAATGTGCTTCAGTGATTCAGCAGACAAGCAATATCCAACTCAATGTGATGAACTGTCAAAGCTAATAGAGTAGGAACAACTCCATGAAGACATCTCCATAAAAGTTCTTGATATTAAGAGGAATTTTCAGCCGCCATAATGCTTGTCAAGCACTCGAATTACTCCCAGTAGCAGATTTTTCTGTAAATAGCCGGTAGCCTTGACTCATTGAATACATGCCCTTATATCCCCTCTCCAACACCACTGGTCTTCAAATTGAACAACAACTGGAAGTGTTCGTATAAGAGCAACATCCCGATGCTTAAATAACCTGCTCAGCAGATCCAAATTCCAATCATTAGAAGTAGGGTCTATCAAATCGCTCACCTTCATACTTGCATTATTATCAAGAATTGGTGAGCGAATAAAGGGATCAGCAGGAAAGGCAGCCAAGGTTGCTTCCAAACAAGAGTTGACGCTCCATTACCAATTCTGCGAAAACAACCACGCTGGAGAACTTCCTGCCCCGCAAGAATAGAACGCCAACAGTAGCTAGGATTCGCTCCAAGACTAGCTTTCGTAAACTCAGTTTGAGGAATAGTATCTTGCTTTGAATATACGCGCAACCAAGGATTGAGGGTTTGTAAGAAGGTGCCAATCCTTGTTTCGCCAATAATGCCACGTTAAATTTGCTTAGCTTCTTAAACCCCAGTCTTCCATTCATTTTCTGTTTACACATACAACCCCATGAAATCCATCTTAGGCCACCACTTCTCCTACCATTGGATTCTCACCAAACTTTATTCATGCAACGCTCAAGCCTTTCACAAGAAGAAATTGGTAGGATATAGATGCTCATAGTATAGGTTAGAAGCGCTTGGGCCACACTTTTAAGAAGAATTTTCTTCCCGGCTTGGGAAAGAATTTTCTTATTCCACCCTCCTAAACGGTTCGCTATCTTTGCCTCAATGAAGGAGAACACTTCTTTTTTATTTCGGCCTATCCCCATTTGCAATCCAAGATACTTGCCAATATTATCAGTTTGTTGGACATTAAATATTCCTGCAACTGCATTCCTACTAGTCATAGCTGTGTTCCTGCTAAAGATAGCACATGACTTATTATAATTCACAACTTGGCCAGATATTTGCTCATAGCTATTCAGACAGTCTTTTAATGCATTGGCTTCAGAAGGTGTAGCTTTAAAGAAGAGCAAACTGTCGTCCACAAAAAAAAATAAGTGCGAGACTCCAGGGGCCCCTCTAGCCACAACGCAAGGGGAGATTACACTTTGCTGCACTGCTGTAGATAAAAAATAAGACAAACCCTCTGCACACAATATAAATAAATAAGGAGATAATGGGTCCCCTTGCCTCAAGCCACAGGATGGAAGAATAAAATCAGATAAATTATCATTCACTGCAACCTTATACCTGACCGTGGTAACACACCGAAACACAAGCTCAATCCACTAATTAAGGAAGCCCATACGTTTCATCATCTCCTTCAAAAAAAACCACTCTATCTTATCGTAAGGTGATGGGTGTCGAATCCAACAAATAATAAATTACTTACTCTTAGGAATTGCAATAGTGATGAGTAAGGTCGTACCCACAGAGATTGGTTAGACTTATTTTTAATTAAAGATTTAATAAAGAATGAGATGAGAATTAGAAATTAAATAGCAACAATAAAAAGGCAAACAATATGAAATATCAAATAATCAATATCAACTAGTATCCAACTCAAGGAATAATATCAATTCAATTCTTACAAGACAGATCATTAATTTCCAAGAATAAATTACTTTACTCTTTACCAAATTGGTTATGGTTATTAACAAGCTCTAACAACGTATCTTTCCTTACTTTGTCGATAATCAAAACAAGATCTTTGATTACTTCCCTAGCTAATAAACAACCCTAAACAGGCTCTTAGGATTTAATTTACTAAAAGCATTAAAAGAATTAGAAAGATTACCAATTCTAGCCAACAAACTCAAAAGCATGGTTCATTTAAACTAGACTATATATCTTCATAACACAAAATTGAAAATCCATATATAATCAAATTGTGCTATTTGCTACCAATTTTAGAACACTTAAACAATTACGGATTCAAGGTTCTAATTAACAACTTAATGACTTGACAATTGAACAATGGACCATTTGCAACAATTATTCAAGCAATAACTAAAACTCATATAACAGGAGATATATAAATAATAAAGTGTAAAGAATAAAATAAAGTTAAATAAATCTCACTGCTCTTGTAGAATCATACTTCAATAATCCTTGAAATGAAAAATTCGAACTCAGCAGTACATTGCAGAAGTGTTTACAGAGTAAAATAAAATTATTCTAAGAAAAACTGACTATCCTCTACTGAAGAATTCAGGCCTATTTATACTAATTCTAGCTATCTAATCTGCTAAAAATAACCCTAATTTCCCTAACATCCACAAATTAAATTAACTCAGTAGAATAGGCTCCAAGCTCTAATTCACTTGATTTTGCTTTGATTTCGTCCACTCGTGGCAGCAGTACTTCGTGAACCTCGTTTGCCCGTGGAGTTCCTTCATCGAAGCAGCTCGCGGAAGATTTCGTAGAAGAGGTCACCGACGCATCAATCGCAGAAGCTGATGTCGTCGCTGCTCCGTTCGTAGAAGAAGTCTCGGTTGTCGTTGGCTCTGCTGTCTACGTATGTATTGTATAAGGGAAAAATAATAAGAAAAGAACAAATATATTAACTGAAGTTTTGGCCTGCTAAAATCATAAAACAAATAAAACATGTTAGTTCGGCCAAATGAAACAAAAAAAGAAAGAAAAGAATTAACCTACTTTAATTTCACCAAGCCGCACTCTTATTAATTAACAAGTGTAATATGTTTATTCCTAATTGCCCAAACATAACCTTAAACTTAAATTATTCTAATAACTATTATATTAATACAAAATATAAATTAATGTTTAAAATAAATATAATATAAAATAAATAAAATCAATTTATTATAAAAACTAATCTAAATTAAATATAAAAATAATGTTTATCATAAGGTTTAGCCATGTCCAACTTGAGAGCACACCACCCATCTCAACCATCTCTCTTACGATTCAGGTAATGAATAACTTCTGCAATGAGCACATTGTCCGTGATGAGGCGACCAAACAAAATGCACTCTGAGAATGTGATATAACTTTTTCCAGCACCTCCTTTAGTCCATTAGCCAACATTTTGGAGAGGATCTTATAAATAAGGTTGCATAACGCTATCAAGCGTAAATAACCCATTGTGGCTGGGGTTGATTTCTTAGGAATTATAGTGATTATTGCATCGTTCATCCCTTCGGGGAAAGTCTTGACCTTCTACACAGTCTATGATGAAACGAGCCACATCCACACCAATTTCATGCCAAAAATGCTGGAAGAACGCTGGGCTAAAACCATAAGGACCCGGTGATTTTTCCGACGCCATACTAAAATGAGCATCTTTCACATCTTCGTACGTAATTAAAGGGCTTTAAGAGATTTGCATTATCTGCCGCAGAGAGCTTGGGGAAGTACCCATGCAGTGCCTAATCCATTTGGTCCCCTTTTTCTGTAAAAGTAATGGTGAAATATCTCTTATCTAACAACAATAAGTTAGTGCCTTCTACCCATGGACCATCTACGTCCTGGACCTTATCAATTTTGTTCTTCCTCTTCCTGGCCCATGCATAAAGATGGTAGAACTTAGTGTTTCTATCACCTTTGTCAAGCCAAAACTACTTCGCACGTTGCCTCAAGAAAATATTCAACTGATCATAGAGCTCACGGATACGCCCATCAATTTCTCGTATTTCAGTAAGAGAGATGCCATCGTGTTTATCCCTTAATGCATTTAGACGAAATTGAAGATGAGTAATTTGTTTTTCCCTTTTTTTTGGCAAAGCCACCACCCCAGTTCTTAAGAGTTGCACCACAACGCTCCAATCTATTGGGGATAATTTCCCCAACTGTGCTTTCTTTGTTCAATTCGTTGCGTCAAAACTTTGTGAGCTTCAAGTTTCTTGCGAGACAAGCAATAGTGGCGTCTCAGACCGAGAGCGTGGAGAGCCTCAACCTTCGCACGTTCAGGTAGAGAGAGCATGTTGCTGGACTGCTTTTTCAAATGCGGCGTTCTCGTATTCCGGATGAAGCGGACGATTGTCGTCTCTGTGTCGGAAACCTCCGCTTTCGAGGAATGCGATGTGCAGCTTTTTGATCTGGTTCCGCACCTGGAGTACTTGCAACAGATGATCTACGCCGCCTTTGTCGCCAATGGGTTCTTTCTCCCAGAAACCGCGTCGTTCTTGGCGGAGGCGGTTTCGGCGGAGGCGGTTTCGGATTGCTTGAGAACTAGGTTTAATGTCTTGATGAAATCAGCACCTCAACATGCATTCAAGTTCTGAACAGTATGGTAAGAAGCTTGATCACTTGAAGGAAAAGGAAAACAATGGATATTCTTCATTATGAACTCACACTTGTACACATAGCAGAGAACGTATTATATAACAGAGACAAAGAGCAGAAAAACGGTTATAACAGATTGGAAAGAAAGCAAAAATACAGGAATGCCCTTGCTTCTATTTTGTACTGCCACCTACTTGTTATTTGTTTGTATACTTCAACACCCCCCCTCCCCCCGTAAGCTGGAACATGAATATCATGAATGCCCAGCTTAGAGTGAAAGATTTCAAAAGCAGGTTTTGGTAGGGCTTTGGTGAAACCATCAGCAATCTGTTTTTGGGAAGAAACTGGCAGCAGCTTGATCAGCCCTTCATGCACCTTTTGTTTGACAATGTGGCAGTCAATTTCAATATGTTTTGTGCGTTCATGGAACACATGATTCTCACCAATAGCAATAGCTGATAGATTATCACAAAACAAAGGAGTAGCAGCATCAAACTTCACACTCAAATCAGCTAGCAGATAATGCAGCCACTGGACTTCACAGACAGTAGAGGCTAGGGCCCTATATTCAGCTTCTGAGGAAGACTTTGATACTGTGGCTTGCTTCTTGGTCTTCCAAGAGATCAAATTATCACCAAGGTATATGCAGAAGCCAGTAATAGACTTTCTAGACTCAATGCAATTAGCCCAATCAGAGTCTGGAAATCCCTTCAGTTGCACATGGGAATTAGCATGGTAGAACAAACCTTTCCCTGGGGAACCTTTGAGATATCTAAAGACTCTATGAGCAGCAGTGAGATGAATATTGGTAGGCATATCAACAAATTGACTTAACTGTTGTACAGCATGTGAAATATCTGGCCTTGTGTTTGTTAGGTACAACAGTTTCCCAATGAGTCTTCTATAAATCTCAGGGTTGTCAAGAGGAACTCCTTCTAAACTGACAAGCTTTAAACCTGTTGTGGCTGGAGTACTTGCTGGTTTAGCTTCTAGGAACCCATTTTCTTTGAGAATTTCCAAAGTGTACTTTCTCTGAAACAAGCTAATGCCATCTGCTGTTCTGACTGCCTCTATTCCAAGGAAGAAATTCAGGAGACCAAGATCTTTAATCCTAAAGGATTTATCCAGAAACTCTTTAAGCTCATTGATCTGTGGTTTACAATTCCCAGCTATCAAAATGTCATCCACATAAATGAGAAGGGCAGTGAAAGAGCTTCCTGAGGTCTTGGTGAACAATGAAGGATCTGCCATAGATTGTTGGAAGCCAACCTTTTGTAAGGCTGAAGTCAATTTTGCATTCCATTACCTGCTAGCCTGTTTCAGGCCATACAAGGATCTCAATAACCTGCACACTTGCTTTGGTTTGTCAGTACTAAAACCTGGAGGTGGAAGCATGTAGACTTCCTCTTCTAAATCACCATGTAGGAATGCATTGTTTATGTCAAGTTGTTGCACATCCCACCCTTTGGTGACAGCCACAACCAAGAAGGTCCTTATTGTAGTCATTCTAGCAACAGGTGAGAAGGTCTCAATGTAGTCCACTCCTAGTTGCTGAGTGTAACCTTTGGCTACTAGTCTAGCCTTGTATCTCTCTATGGAGCCATCAACTCTATGTTTGATTTTGAACACCCACTTGCATCCAATTGGGATCTTGCCAGCTAGGAGATCTGTTAGAGTCCAAGTGTTGTTGGCAACTAACGCTTCAATCTCAGAAGTCATTGCCCTCATCCATGACTCATCCTGTACTGCTTCTGCATAGGATTGTGGTTCTTGTGCTGCTAAGATAGATGAGGCACATACCCTTTGATTTGGAGACATAGAATCATAGGATATGACCTTGTCCAGGGTATGTGGAGAAGTTCTCACATATGTACAGTAGTAATCTTGCAATCTTTTAGGGATGTTTCTTGGCCTTGCAGACCTTCTAATTTGTGGTTGATTTGTGTTTTCTTCCTGCTGACTGGAATGTTCTTGTTGAGAACTCTCATCATTCAACTCATTACTCAATCCATACTCACTATTATTTCCAAGTTCTCCATCAGGTCCTGGTGTATGACTTTCTGGCTGAACTGAGGCATTGGGGCTGTGGTCTGCTATCTGAGGCATACCATTAGATAATTGTGAATCATTGGGCTTATTGTTTCCTGTGAACTTGTCCAGAGACCTCATTGGTAACATGTCCTCATCAATTGAAACCAGAGGTAAAGTGGGATTAAAGTACTGAGCTTGAGAAGGAGCATGACTAGGAGTGGACTTGAGAGGATATATGTCTTCATAAAACTGCACATCCCTGGAAATGAACACACAATTGTCAGCCAGATCATATAGAACATACCCCTTCACATTAGCAGGGAAGCCCAAAAATATACACTTCTAGCCCTGGGCATCATTTTATTCCTCCCTTGTGAAGCTGATGTACCAAAGCACAAACAGCATGCAACACACAATGATTCCAGAATTCCAAAGGAACACCAGATTGAAACCTGAGTGCCCTAGCAACATTCAAGATGTGTTGATGCTTCCTTTCTGCCACCCCATTTTGCTGGGGTGTGTTAACACAAGACTTCTGGTGGACTATCCCCTTCTCATTAAAGAAAGAGGACATAAAGAACTCAGTAACATTGTCAGATCTCACCATTTTAATCCTTGTTGAAAATTGTGCATCAACATAGTTATAGAAATTCTGAAATAGGCTTTTGACTTCTGACTTAGTTTTCATCAAATGTAACCATGTGAATCTGCTACAATCATCAACAATGGTTAGAAAATAGTGTTCCCCTCTCAATGATGACACTGGAAAGGGTCCCCACACATCCATATGAATTAGATCAAAGCATTTATCACCCTATTTTCACTGATAGGAAACACAGATTTCTTATGTTTAGCAAAATGGCAAGTGTCACAAGCAAAAGATTGAGATTTCTGAAACTGAACACATTTTATTCCATTCAAAGTGTGAATCTTATCTATGGGATAATGCCCCAGTCTATTATGCCACATGTGAACTGTCAGGTTATTACATTGACTACTAAGCTCAGCACACTGTTTTCTCTTGACAGGTGGATGATTAAGAAGATATAGCCCATCCTTTTCCTTAGCAAAACCATCCATCATCCCATGCAGTCCCTGAATATCACAAGAATCAGTGCTCATGACAAGGGTACAACCACTTTGCTTTATTAGCTTGCTGGCAGATACTATGTTGAAACTGAAAGAGGGTATATATAAGACATTTTTCAATATGAGATTGGGAGAGAGCCTAACCTCTCCCATATGTGTAACCTGCACAGTTTCTCCATTTGGCAGTTTTACAGAGATTATTGATAGCATGACATCTTTCAAGATAATCCAAGGAGCATGTGATATGATCAGTGGCTCCTGAATCCAAAATCCACACAGTAGGACAATTCAATATAGCATATATGTATGAATTGTAGAAATACTTGCCTTCCTTTGAGGTATTTGACATTTTGGTGAAGTTAGGCTTCATTCCAGTGTCAGTGACTGTTACTGCAGCACTAGTGGAGGCCTGGTTCCCTTGGTTCTGGCCTTGCAGGAGGGATATCAACCTCTTAAACTGATCAGGTGAGAGCCCTACCTCACCAATTTGATTAACAGAGGGACTGAAATTCTGTTGAGTCTCTTGACCTTGATTTTGCCTATTTCTGGATTTGTATCCTTGTACCCAACCAGGAGGAAATCCATGCTTCTTATAACATTTATCTATAGTACGGCCATTCATTCCACAATAAGTACATTTCGGGACAGTTTTGCCTCCTACATTGCTGAACTTTTGCTTATTACTTGATGCCATAGCCACAACATTCTCATCATCTGCTATAGGATTCTGGACAGCATTGGCTTGTGTAACTTCATTATTCTTATGAACATTGACACTGTTAAGCTTTCTTTCTAACTTCAGAGTCATGTTTAAAACCTTTTCCATAGTTGGAAGAGGATTCATGACCAGGACACCTGACTTTATGGTCTCAAACTCATCATTTAGCCCCTCCAAAATCCTAATGACCTGATCCTCCTTTCTGTCTTTTCTTATTTTAGTCATGAGAGAACAGACACATCTAGGTACACATTCACAAACAGGTAATGGCCTTACTGCATTCAACTTTTCCCAAAGAGCATTACATTTTGTGAAGTATTCATTAATAGACATGTTACCTTGTAAACTTCTATAGATCTCGTTTTGAATCTCTGCTATTTTGTGAGAATCCGCCTGAACGTACCTCTTCCTCAAAGCATTCCATATGTCCTCTGCTTGTTCGAAGTATAAGACACTCTCAGCGATGGTAGGGTTTAAGGATCTTAATGTCCAGGAGCATACAATGTCATTCGATCTCTTCCAGGCAGCAAACCTTTGATCGGACTCTCCTGGACTTCGGATTGAGCCATTGACGAAGCCAAACTTGTTCTTCACCCCCAGTGCCAACTTCATGGACCTGCTCCATGTAGCATAGTTGGATTCTGACAAGGGAGGTGAGACCAGCACTACGTTCGGATTCTCCGTGACGTGTAGGTACATCGGATCATCAACTTCATCCATTCGATGTACCGGACTCTGGTTTGCATGGATCTGACTGGCCGGAATCGAAGCTCCTGCTGTGTTTCCGACGGAGTCTTCATTTCCGGCTTCATGATCCGTACTCACTACGGCGGCGTAGCTGCGGTGGTACTCTGATACCATGATGAAATCAGCACCTCAACATGCATTCAAGTTCTGTACAGTATGGTAAGAAGCTTGATCACTTGAAGGAAAAGGAAAACAATGGATATTCTTCATTATGAACTCACACTTGTACACATAGCAGAGAACGTATTATATACCAGAGACAAAGAGTAGAAAAACAGTTATAACAGATTGGAAAGAAAGCAAAAATACAGGAATGCCCTTGCTTCTATTTTGTACTGCCACCTACTTGTTATTTGTTTGTATACTTCAACAATGTCTATCAAGAAACCTTGTTGTGTCTCAGGAAATCGAAGGTTGTTATCGACTTATCATTGTTGATGTCGATGCGGAAAGGGTTGGGGAGAAAAAGGGTTTTCGAATGTTGAATCAACACAATCGTTTGTACAAAGAACTACTGTGCTACAATGGTGATATGGATGAAGAAGACGAAGATGAAGAAAGGGGTATGATGATTTCTGTGAATGAAGTTGAGGGGACGATGATGGAAAAGGATTATGATATGATGATGAGAAAACATTTGTGGTGGAGGTGTTCGGAGATTACTTTGACGATGATTGTGCGGAGATTATATATTCGATGAAGAATTTTCTGAGCAAGACACCGGATTTTCTTAGACAATGCTGTGTTGTTTCAAGAAGTGAAAACGTTTGTGGTGGAGGTGTTCGGAGATTACTTTGACGATGATTGTGGGGAGATTATATATTCGATGAAGAATTTTCTGAGCAAGACACCAGATTTTCTTAGACAATGCTGTGTTGTTTCAAGAAGTGAAAACGTTTGTGGTGGAGGTGTTCGGAGATTACTTTGACGATGATTGTGGGGAGATTATATATTCGATGCAGAATTTTCTGAGCAAGACACGGGATTTTCTTAGACAATGCTGTGTTATTTCAAGAAGTGAAAGGTGGATTGAAGATGGAGTGAAGGGCTAGTTTCTGATTTACTTTCTTCATTCAATTTTAGGAAATTTGTAATTTTTTTCTTTAAATTTTGAATAACCATTTATTTGTTTTGTTTACTGCATTAATGGTCAATAAGAAACCAATGTCTTTTGTTGAAATTGATGTTATGATACGTTACTGTCCTTTCAATTTTGAATACCAATTTATGTGTCCTTTCAATTTTGAATACCAATTTATTCTTCCCAAACTATTTGTTCTGTTGATTACTGTTGCTGGTGGTCCTGGTGGATAAGATTCTAGTTGTTGTTGCATTAATATAATGAAGAATAAATTTCATTTTTGGCCATTTGACTATTATACATGAATTATTTTGTTGGTGTCAACCATTTGATCCTTGACCAGTTTTCTAATTGAGTACATGACTTGTAATTTGTATCACATTTGGTCATGTCATCCAATTTTCTAGCCAACTATTATTGCCGAAAGTGCTCCTTATGGAAGAAGAAAATGCAGTGTTCTTCCTGAGTGCTCATTTCTAAAGAAGCAAATGCAATGCTCCTTGTAGAATTGCTTCTTCCGACAATAGCTGGCCAGGAAATTGGACGACATGACCAGATGTGATACAAATTACATAGTCATTCACC